TGGCCGGGGGGTCTAGCCGGAAGCCCACGGCGGTGAGGAGGGCCTGCCAGCCGGGGATGCCACCCACTTTGTTCTCCACGCTCTGCTGGGACGTGTACATGGCGTTTCGCTGCCCATTCTGGATGCGCTGCAGGGACTTCTCCACCTGGCGGGACGAGGGGAGAGAGAGACCCAGTCAGGCCTGGTTTCTCGCTCTGGCTTCAGGGAACACAGCCCCAGGGCAAAGCAGGGCTCACAGTTGCCACCTCAGTGGCCAGACCTGAGTTCCTGACCACGCTGGGACTTCGGCCAGGTGTCTGGCAAGGGAGGGCCTAGGTGGGAAGGCGTTTGTGACCTGAGCAGGGAGGGCTGATGGGACTGGGGGACTCTGTGCTCCCCAACCCGCCTCCTCCCACTGCTCGGGGTCACTGAAGCCACGTGTCTGGAAGCTAGTCTCAGGCCGGGCCTGCCCCAGACACTAACAGCACCCAGCCCTGTGGGGTAAGCCCCAGGCCCTTCAGGACCCCGGGCACAGGTAGGTGAACCAGGGCTGGACTTTTTGGCACAGAACTCTGGGGAGAATGGTGACTCTAAGCTATTTGAAGTTGTCTTCCAGTAGTTATCAAGAAAGAGGGGTGGTGCACGACTCGTGGCGCTGTTTCTCGCCTAAATCCCTAACGTGTAAAGGACAGGACGGGGACCAGCTGGCCCCGTGAGTCAGACCTGCCTTTTCTCCCACCTGAGCCCAGGGCAGCAGCACCCTTGGCCGCTGGAACCCTGTTGTGTGGCAGCTCCTCCCCTTCCCTCTGATCTGCACGGGAACCTTGAAATGGTGGTTTCTCACCTCTTCTAGAGGGAAACTGAGGCTCAGGGAGCCGCAGCAGTTTGCCCACAGCCACGTGGTCTGGAGATGATGCGGGCGAAGGGCATTGTGCTCAGCTGCCCCTCCTGGAGTTCGGCGAGGGCTGCTGTGGCCTGACCCACAGTGCCCCCACTCAGATCGGTGTGTGACAGAACATGCCAGAGATGCTCCTATGGCTGGCACTAAGCGGCCCCAGCCCTAACGTGCTGTCCACCTGCTGCGTCTCCATGCCAGGGACACCCTGCCCTCCTCCTGCAGGCCTGGCTCTTGGCTCCGCATGCAGCCCTGAGGGAAGGTTCCTGCGGGCCCTTACCAGGTGCAGCAGCACACGCAGGGCGTCCCGCGCGCGCTCTGGGTGCTGCAGGATCTCCGTGAGGGCCTGGCCGATGAGCGACGAGGGACTGTTGAGCTTAACATCACTCCCGATGAGCACGAACCCTGCGGAGAGCACGCACGTCAGGCCCACAGCCCAAAGCACCCTTTCCCCTGTTGCAGCTAACCGGCAGCAGGGCAGGGCCTGGGCAGAACAGCTGTTGGGCCAGACCATGGGGTGCCCTTTGGTCCCCCTCCTTTGGAGAGGCATCTCTAGCCACTCAGGTAAGTAGGACATGCTGCTGGCAGGAGGAGGAGCTGGGGACTGCCGCAGGAAGAGCCCGGCAGAACCCAGGGTGGCGGGCCCAGGGTGACAGGCCCAGCCACCGCCCCAAGTCCTCCTGTACTGCCTGCCCTCCATTTCAGCGTGGAGTTGGGCCCTGAGGGCTGCCCTGCGCTCAGGCCAGCACCTGCGGCGGCCAGCTCTTTACCTGCCCAGTTGGAGGGGTGTGAGAAGGCCTTGCTGCTCTGCACCACTTTCATGGCCTCCCCGAGGGCGGCGCTGGCTTTCAGGCCATTCAACAGGGATGAGTAGAAGGCGTGGATGAACATCTTGGAGGCAGCCGCCGGTGCAGGCCACAGGGACACGAGGACGCACCGGGCGGCC